TGTCATCTGATTGTCGTAATCTTACTTGTCCATGATAACGACCACGTTGCCCTTGTCTGCATTCACATAGTATACTGCTTTACTTTTCAGCTCCTTTACAATCCGAATTTCCTTTTCGTTGTGGCGACTTTATTCCTGCCCGTCCTTGATTATGTTCGATGTGATAGTCCTGACCGTATTATGTGATGAATCATGATGATGTTGGAAGTGTCACTACGTCAATGATGATCTGCTCCTCGTTGGTTGTAACCGCGTCCCTTGTTGAGGTGTGTCAATTGTTCTTTCGTTAATGCGGTAGTCGATCGGTTTTTTTTTAACTAGTTCATTTATTTGGAAGGCTCAATCGCGTTAGCTTTACGCAGCCGATAGTTCATTGTTCTTTGTTTGTAGATTTCCATTGTCCCAATCGGTTTGCCAACTCGAAAGGGTACTCTGACGCACTAAATGGTAAAATTCATCGTGTGAAATTTGCCTGTCATAAAATTCGCCTTCCTGCGCGCCCACTTTTGCGAGAGAGTTCGCCTTCTCATTGCCTGGGATTGAGCAATGTGAGGGGACCCATACAAAGGTAATCATATGTGATCTTTCGACCAGCACACTCATCTGCTCCCTTACCTTTGAAAGAAAATAAGATGAGTGCCTACCTTGTTTCATCGACCGAATAGCCTCAATCGAACTGAGACTATCCGAGAAGATGAAGGCATGTTGGAAATCATCCCCAATGCGAAGTTGATTGCTGCCAGCTCAGCAACAAAAACGGAACAAGGTTCCTGGAGTTTGCGGAAGGCGCAAGAGTTTTCATTGAAGACACCGAAGCCAGTGGATCCACTGAGACGAGACCCGTCTGTAAAATATCTGTTCACACAATTGACGTGCAGTCGATCGGTTGACAACCAACCCATCAATAGGGTGAACCCTCGGCGTCGTGGTGATGGTGGTTGGGATCTATTCACCCGTTCGGTGTGTCGTCCGTCTCCGTTAAGAAACGTGTATTAGCTTCCTATCGTGCAGCTTCCGTTTTCTATCCGATTCGCCCTTCTCTGCTATCTTGGCCCTAGACAGAAACTCTTGGATACTCCTTGACCAATTTGAGATGTAGAGATTAACATTCCAAAGCATTCATGTCCAGTTTTGATATATAGCCATCTGATGCTATCCTTGATGAGTTCTGCTTCCATCCTCTTAACTACGCTGGGTGAGATGGGTGTCCGTACCTTAATCCTATGCGTTTGACTAGTACTGTCGCATTAGTGACCCTTTGCTCATTTCAACTTCTATTCAATTTTCATACTGCCGTACTCTAACAGAACTATCTACCTTCCCTCATCTAAGATCATGCTCTAGCTAACAAATTATCACACTAAAGCTTCATGTTAGATAGCATTTTCAACCAACTCTGAAAATTGCAAACTTCGTGTATGAAGTAACATAAAAACAATGTGAACATATTTAATTATTAAATTACTCTTACTATTTCCTGTTGATAATAAAACTTTTTGTATGCTCAAAAAATTCTCTCGAAGCTTTGCTGATGATTCTGGAATTTCCCTGAATTTCTCGAATATTCAGTAAGCTTTCTGCAATACTTTGAAATTATGTGAACTTACCTTTGCTTCTTTGATCCGTCCAGATCAGACATGCATCTATTAAGTTCACACATAAGTGGTGCCAGTGATGTAGTGGTAAGCGTGATTGCCTCTCACCCCAAAAGGCCTGGGTTCAATACCAGTCGGCACCACTGGGATTTTCTGAGGCATAACATCTCTGATCACGAAGTAAAGCCGTTGGTCCCCGGTCTATGAGTGAGGATAGTGGGTCAATAGGTAGGGTCCAGCTGTGGAAGCTGCCTCCCTGGCTTCGGTAGCATTGGTACTCAGTACGGAAAGCAAGATTGACGGAAAAAAACCAAGGAAAAAACAAAGGTCACACTTCTACAATATCTTGCTCTGAAATAAATGAACTGCTGAACACTTTTAAACTTTCTTGAAGTTTTCTACACCTCTGTGAAGTTATTTGATCCCACGCTATCAGGCATATGACTCCTCCAAAAGTCTGGAATTTCCTGCAGTTACGAGAACTACCTAGCTATTCTGAGGTATTTGAAATTTCCACAGTTTTCCTCAAATTCTGTCCACAACTCTGATTTTTTTTTTGGCTTACTGAATTCCCACTATCTTCTATAAGCTAATGGAACCGCTATAATTTTCTTAAGCTTTCCACTAAGTTACCCGTACGTTTAAGATGTTTCAAAAGCTTCCCTTAAGCTCCCGCACCTTCTCTGAAATTCTTAGCATTTTATTTAATTCCTCAGATTATCTATAAAGTTCCTACAATTGATATCAAGCTAATGGGGCATCTCTATTTTTTTTTATAAAGTTTAAATAAATATAAAAAAATTATAGTTATAGCTTATAATGGCTAACAAGCCTTTGGGAATTTTTCCTTATTAGAGAGTTGTATAGATTTTTCTCCTTTGCTTTACTTAAATCTTTGGTTTTTTGAGTTATTTTTTTTTTATTATTATTATAGTCACTTTAACACTCTTGGGTCATTCGCGACTTGTCCGGGGTGAAATTTGAACTCGTGACTTTGGCGTGAGAGGTATGGATGCTAACCACTACGCCGGGGTCGATTCCACACATTGTAGTTTCTTTTTTACCATTTTCACCTGTGATCTTGACATTATTATCTAGGGGATTAGTACTTAAGGGGGTAAGATTTTGATAATCTTTTAGTTGGAATGACACTGACGAAGACTGCACATTGTACTCGAAATACGTATCTGTCATAGATACCAGAATAATTAAGTGGAATTAAATGGAACATAACCCTTTTTGCTGTTTTATTTAAGTCGATATAAATTTAACCTTGATCCAGGTCATGGCAAATGCCCAGGATGGAACTATTTCATGATGACTCTATGCACCTCTGCAGGTGCTCAGGATCCTTGAGTTTTATTCGTAATGCACTAAAATCAAATAAGATATCGAAATGTTGAGGAGCTTGATGTGCTGGTAAATCGTTCATTACCGAATAACGAACTCAAAATTAATATCATTACATGTTCTGCTCCAGCCTTCATTCGTCAATGAAATCTGTTGTCCATCACGTGCCGCACCACTTACAGAAAGCACCGTAGTATTGCCCTGGAAACGTTAAATGTATTGCTCAATTCATCCTGCGCCATCGAGTTGCTATTTGTTCCGCCCAAAAACCACCGCAAAACCTCCTCCACGTTGAAATGTTTTGAGCACTGCTCGTTACTCGTTTTGAGGTCATCGGCGTGAACTGCGAGAGTCAAAGGCACTCAGCAATTTACAATAAATTTGGTGATGTATAAATTATAGGCGACCCGGGGCGCATACCCTTGATTTCGTCCAATTGCTTCGACTTCAATTGAACCATCACCATCGTCATCACCATCAGTGGCAGTAGCAGCAGTAGCATCCTGTGCGTAAACCACACGGTCAAGAAGTTTGGCTTCCAACGAGCGTTTCTACCGCTATTTGAAGTGGCCCAATGGCAGACACCAGCATCAGCATCGCTCATTTGACACGATTGCCTCCGTTTGGAAGAATTTAATGATTCCTAGCCCCACCTTCCCCTGACAGACAGACGGTTGCGCTCTTGTGGGCCGAGCAGAAATGTGCGCCATTCCGCCAGTGCGTCCATATAATTCACATTCAACCAAATTGAATCATCAAAACATGACCGGGGACCGTTTAGCTTGGGAAGAAATATAAAGGAATCTTTTACTATTCGAATAAAAGCCTGTCCGTTTACGATTGTGAAACGTTTTGATTTGCATTGATTTGTACACGTCAAAACTGGACACGTATCATTTCGTATTTCAAGCTCGGAACGGTCGTTGAACACTGCACCCACCATCTCCAGGTCCAGCCTTCGCTTCCAGACATTCCCCTACAAGAGCAAAAGAATGCGTCCGTGTTAAAAGCGTGGCATCGGATTTTGAGCGACGTCTTTAATTTACCAGTTTGTTGCTCTTTTCCACTATTTCCTCTACATGGGCAAACGAACTGCTTTTGCGTAGGAATAGAACAAATTAATCCGTCTTGAAATGATATTTCCCTCCAACACGTCATCTCTATTCCAAATCTCCATGAAAGACCCTCTGTCCGAAAACCAAACGGCAGATAATTATACGGAACGAATGAGTGTATATTTTTATTTGTGTATACGGAGAACCCGCGTCCGCATGCAGTAAACATACATTTCGACACGTACTTAAAATGGATTAAGTCATTATCGAAATTGTGGATACCGCTAATGACACGTTTGAGGGGCCCAACAATGCTGATTGGTACACACACTCACAGCAATTGCGCCCACGGACGCCGAAACTTACGGAACCGTTCGAGGATCGAGGACTGTCAGATTTCGGCGCAAAATTAGTGGTGTGTGTCATTTGAAATTGAACTGTTGTCAAGGTGGCGTGCCGACCTAGGTAGCCCGGTGTGTAATTACTGGGTGTTTGTTTAACTGGCATGGGAGAATCGTATGATTGAGCTGTCACGCAAATGTAGGTCAAATTAGCAAGTGTTACCAGCGAATCGTGACAAAAGTAGCATAAATCAAGCTTAGATTTCCAAGGAACAATATGAAAACTTTCATTATTTTACAGAGATTCAGATTACGACTGAAAACTATCCTGCTGCTGCTGATATGAATTGTTCAAAATGTAAGCATAGCTTCCGGTACCATCGACAATGTCTTGTGAATGAATTTGAATCTCACCTGGTGACTGCTACTCCGACCTTTATCAGCAGAACATTTGATAACAGGATTAGTTACTCAAAGAACTCTTATCAAGCGTCTGAAACGCAAGACCATAGAAATCTAACACCTGTTCGATAACCAAAACTGGTGTCCAGATGGCCATTTGGTATTATCAAACACATATCGTTGGCAGAAAGCGAAAGATAAGGTTAGCTTATCAAATTTGACCAATGTTTAACCCTAGTATAAAACTAAGCGTCCCGGCGTGGTAAGGCCATCAGTTGATCTCTCCTAAACAACCAGTGAATACACAGAGCAAACCTCTCCAAATAACCATCAAAATGTTCAAGTATCTGCTTTTGGCTACCCTCATCCCAGCTGTTATGCTGCAGAACGCTGACAACGTCGATCACGAAAGCTGGCCGCAAGTTTCCATCCGCCCATGTGCTGGAGTCCGTCCACCACCTCGTCAAGTTCGCATTGAAGGATGCGTGGAACTGCCGTGCCTGCTGCCGCGTGGACAAGATGCCAACATGGCTATGGATTTCACTGCTAGTAAGAATCTCGTACCACTCAAAAATAAATGAATATTGTTCTAACAAGCTTGTACAATTTACAGTTCAGGACGCCACCAACATGCGCACCGTCGTAACTGCCACCGCTCTGGGAATCACCGCCCCCTACGAGCTGCCAGCTGATCGTGCTGCTGTTTGCAACTGGTTGGTGCAGACCCGTTGCCCAGTCTCGGCCGGAGAGGATTTGACCTACCATCTGAGCATGCCCGTCACTGCCATCTACCCGTTGGTTAGTGTGGTCATCGAAATCGACGTGATCGATCAGAGCGAACAATCGCACGGATGCTTTGTCGTCGATACCCGTGTGGTTGCCAACTAAACCCATTGATGTCGGTCATACGTTGAGTCTCGGGTGTGGAAGTGTATTCTTCTGAAAATTATATGAGTGATTTTATTTTATGGAATTATAGGAGTTAGAATCGACTGAGTCAAAAGTAAGAAATTTTGTTTTGATTTTTTGAAATATTTTGTGATCCTCTATAGTCAGGAAATGCATTTAGAGAAGTTTGTTTTGGTGTAATTCCAGCAAAAACGTATTAAATTCATGTTTTAGAAACTTTCAGAATTTTTAGTACCATCATTTGCACAGAAACTATCTTTTTTCTCGATTTAATAATATTCAAATATGGTGTAATAATCAGTGATACCAGATTTGAAGGCATTTGAAACTCTGTGAACACTCTTTTTACCCGTATACATTTTGAAAACATTTCATCTTTTGTGAAGGTTTTTGATGACATCTTGAAATTGAAGACAACTTCTGAAGGTTATTTTTTTGGTTAATATCCCTAATGGCGGTCTAAGCGTCCCTAATATTGGACCCGTACATATAATTCGAAGGAAAGCATTTTTTGACAATCTTTTACTAGCAACCAATAATATCCCTTGGTTGATTTGATTAGTTTACTTTATTAAGGAGATTGACATCCAAGGGACCTCCCTTAGCTCAGTCGGTAAAGGCACAGCTACAAAGCAAGACCATGCTGGAGGTAGCTGGGTTCGATTCCCGGTCCGGTCTAGGTATTTTTCGGGTTGGAAAATTTCTTGACTTCGACTCCCCTAATGTAAAAATGGTACAGGCATCGAAAGCTCTCATTTAATAACTGTGGAAGTGCATCTAGAACATTAAGTTGAGAGCACGCAATAAGCTAATATACCATAAGCAATAAGCTTGAAATGCGAGGAAGAAGAAGAGACATCCACGGGCTGGTTTATCTCTGGGAGCTCTCTCTTGGGGGGTTGGCTTGGGTTAATATCCCTTTGTAGTTCCCAGATGACTCACATTTGTAAGGCAAATTTAAGTACAGAAGATTTTAAACAATGAGCCTAATCTTTAGATCCATAGGCCAACATTAGAGTTATGTTCACTATGTGAAGATATTACTTTTAGAAGAGATATTTGGACTTAATAATTTCAGCTCCTTTACAATGTCTATTGCGGTTAATGTAACCCGAATAAGCTTTGTTTTTTGTTCAGAACAATACTTGTTTGACATGACAATGCACAAGACCAGTGCACAGTGGGGTATTTATTAATTCTAGCTGGCCAAAAATATTTAACCACTCTAACTTGTCACATACATCTTATTATTCAAGGATAATAATATTTTTTTGTAAAAAAAGGGCGTAGTCATGATTTGGAGGGGGAGGGGGTCATCTTATAATGATGTGTTTTTTTTTTTATTTGTAAGTCGTTAAGTATTCTTCGGATATAGTTACCGTCAAAGGATGAAATATTGGGAACTAGTAATACTTTAAATAAAAAATATAAAAATACAATTACACCTGCGGTCAATAAAAAAGCACCAAAAGCCGAATTTGGTTTACAGACTAGTCACATTTGACATGCTGTAAATTTGTTCTGTAATGATCAATTGCTGAACCACAAATATGCTGAGTTTTGCGTGAACAAAAGGTCCAACTTCTTGAAACTCCTGCCGGAAATTGGCGATATGGTTAAAAACGTTTAAAATAAAAGCATTTTTGAAATTCGAAATATTTCAAGATACTTATTTTAAATTTGTTTTCGTACACGCAAAGTTCATAATAGTTTTGTTCTGCATAACAATTTCAATTAGTCAATCATAACAAACAAATTTACATAAAAGTTGGCTAATTTATATGAAAATCCGCCTATGGTGCTATTTTCTTGGCCGCAGGTGTAAAAATTTATGAGAATGTAAAAAATTAAAGATTGACGTTGATTGTAGTCATTGTAAAATAAGTTCAGCTAAAAGAGAACAAGAAAATTATATTTAGATTTTGATATTTAAGGTTAAAGTTGATGAAATGCACAAATGGCTGCTATTTTGTTTATTTTTCCTTACCACTTCGAATTTTTGGCGGCACGATTCTTAGAAACTAAAAGGATTTCGCGTGCCAAATTATAATCAATCTTATGCTGCACTGCACCATACATGTCATTACAATTTCATGCATGGGAACTTTGTAGTCTCTAAGATTCGTGCCGCCAAGAATTAGAAGTGGTAAGGAAAAATAAACAAAATAGTGACCATTTGTGGATTCCATCAACTTTTATTTTAAGATAATAATTATATTACACCAAGTATTACACATCAACAACAAATTTAACAATTCAAAAACAATAACAAAACAACAAGTAAAAAAAAACAAATGAAATTAAAAGAAAAAAAATCATTCCGAATTTGAGAAGACATTTTATTATTCGTCTGTTTCATATGTTTCTTGCATCTCTAATTTTTCCAGACGATCTTCGCTTTCTTGGATGAGGTCCTGTGGGAGTAACAATTACAATTTTTCTGTCGTCAATGCCTTTTACTTTTTTCGCGGGATTTTTCTAAATCCTAAAAGAATATTTATTTACTTTCTTGTACGATAATCATTACGTTGTTTACCTGTGAAGGATCAGAACTAAGCAGCAGTCTATTCAGTACATCCATGTTGCAAGCCTGTCTTGAGAACTTTCTGGAAAAATGTTGGCGGTGTAATCTTAAATATTTGTTTCTTGATTCTATAGCTTCTTCTGACAACTGCCCTATTGGAAGCAGTGCATTTTCTATAACAATGGTAGTGTAAATTAAAATTGTACGCAGAGTTGGAATCATCGGATTCCACGGACACAGTGGAACGTACATCTCCGCTGTTTCTTGAGTCAATTTCCCAACCTTTTTCGTATCAATTTTAAAACCCCTAGCTAGTGTTTCCAATATAACTTTAAGCCGGTAGATCAAATTAAAATCAACACTTGTTATTTGAGCAGCAGTTTTCGGATCAGCAAAGAATCTTTGACTAGCGTTTCGAATTTCTAAAGCCTGGTTTTGGATAACCCACAAGGAATCCCAATTTTCAGAAGTTTTCTTGAATGTGTTCTTTTGTTTCTTTGACGATTTGCTTTTCATTGCCAGTTAACCGCCATTTTTTGATCGGCAACTTGTAATAAAGATGTAAAATTCGAATCCTGGCATGAAAAATGGATAATCCGGATTTAAGGGATTCTGTGTTGATTTCTTTTTTAACACCAAGATTATTAAATTCATTTGAACTTGCGCCACATATACAACATCTCATCGTTGATGTCGTTTCAGCTGCAGTATTACACACTTTACCATCAACCATAGTGAGCTTAAAAGTATGTCTAATAGTAATCTGCTTGCCATCTAATGCAACTTTTGTCGGCCGTTGCGAATTAATTGCATCTCTTCATTAGTTACCTAAGATGATTCCTTGATAAACCTAATGCGGATTGGGCGAGAATAGCGAGGTGAAGATGGAGTTGGGTTTTGCCAAACTATTTTTGCATTGGATCCACAAACGGTACAAATGAACTTTGGAACACGCTCGTATCAGAATCCATATCCACGCGCACCTGATGGAATTATTAAACAAGGCAAAAAAAAATTGCTTAAAAATATACCTGAGAGGAAACCATCCCCCCCCCCTTCCCCCTTCCAAAACAAGGCCTTGTCCGCCTAGGTTACTGCCATATAATGCATGAAAATGTCAATAACTGCATTTGTGTACATTTTTTGATAAATTCACCTATATGGACACGCCATCTTCATTTTCCAATTTCTCGAAAGATCGCAAATAATCCCTGCTGATTTTTTGCTATAATCTTCTATACACATGTACATATAATGCCTCATATACGGCTTTACAGGATATTACAGGATAAGTCAATTTTTTTTTATTATGATATATCTTTGTTATAGTTTAAATAGCACTTGAAGACAAGATTTTCATAAACTGCTTCTACAAAGTCAAAACTAAGTGAAATCAGCTTATGTCATCTGGAATTCATATTTCAATACCTGCTTGATCGCTATCCATTTTTGCAAATTATTGTGATTATCCCAACAACAAGTAGAGACACGTAAACAATAGCACTGCGGAACGATTTTTTCTAACAAACTAACACGATTCAACAACAGGCTAGTTTGAACTGATGCCACAACGCGGTAAGTTTAGAAAAAGAAATTATGAGTACAGGGCATTGTTACCCTACCTCTGAAGTATACAATGCATGTATTCAGAATCTGTTTTGGCTTATTTTGGGAAATCGACTTTTGGCCAGCTAGCGTAGAACAAATACCCCTCCGTGCTGTGTTGGAAAAAAATCATCAATCAAATAAGCTCTCATACGCTATCAATATCACGCTAAAATTTTCCAATCGCGAAATATTCACGATCAATCATATAAATTTGAGATTTTTTTGCTTTTTCCTAGCGTCCTGAAGAAAACCTAACCTTAATTCAAAGTGATTCTGGTTAATTGTTTATGGAGAACCGTAAGCATGTCAGGCTACGAGAACTTCCGGTAGTACTAAACCGTTGCTTGAAAGTCATCTTTAAAAAACCGCACCTTTACCCAACGGAACAGTTGTACAATGACTTGCAGAATTCGCTTTTACCAATTCGAGGACTTCAAGTGTTGCAGACATTAACATACATGCATAACATTGTAACAAATCCAGCCTCACATCACAACATGACAGTCACAATGAACCTCTCAGAAACATCCAGTAGATTCAACGGTAGTATTCGATTGGTCCGACCCCATTCAGAACTCGAAACAAAAACGGTTTGGTTACCATGGTGGTAAACTGTACAACAAGATCCCAACAGTAATCAAACAACAGCAATCCATCGATTTGTTCAAGGCGAACATCAAACGACATCTATAGCTTCGTATCTTGCACTATCTACGTTGACGTAAATCACCAGCGGCCATACCCTAGAAACACAAATTCATAGAATTATGTTTATTGAACTGCTATTCAATCAAAGCCAGTCATACAAAGGTAATATAAACTGTTATAGAACATATGTGTTGCTTGGGAATCTTGCCTTTGGCCTGGTTAAACACCAGTTCTCTGCCAGGTAAATAAGACTGGTATATGTCTGGCCGAAGCCGCCAGTGATACTGCGCCCCTAATGGTTTGTCCAACAAATG